ACATCTGCCAGCATCTGGCCAATCCACCACCTTTTATTGTTTATACCGTTACAAAAAATAAAAAATTATTGGCCCATAAAAATGAAAAATCATTTGCCCGGTGGGCTGATGGCCAGTCCAGCTATTGTCGTGCCATGAGTTAACCCTTCACGTGCCGACTGTGGCATGTGTGCCTAGGATTGCCGACCCCTGGTCTAGATGCTGGTGGTAGTGAAGACAAAGACTGAGGTTTGGAAGTTCTGACTAAGTTGTCTGTGAGGTGAAGATGGGGAAGAAGTGGGCTGCATGAATGAGATTCTGAAAGAAAGAATGATGGAGAGCGCAAATTTAAACTATGCAAATTGGCGGCTGATTAATTCAAAAAAGGCAGGCAAGAAGGTGGTTGGGCTAGAAAAATTATGACATTAATGAGATTGCAAATGTTGAAACAAGGTTGTGATGTGGAGAATAGAAACACCCAGAAAAGCCGGAAGATGACATTTACAGCTCTTTCTTATTGAACTTAGGCATATGCTTCATTTAAACCCCTGAAAGTGGCAGTGTCTCTCCCAGAGCTCCAGTTTGGTGACATCTATGTGTATCTTGTAGAGAACTACTGCCAGAATAGAAGATTTCAAAGTATGGACAGCTACATGTATTTTCTATCTGGATTTGTAAATAATGCTGTCATGTCAGAGATGGAGAACGAGAAACTGTTCACCATTAAAGCAAAGGCAAGCACTACATAACGTCACGTCGAGGGTTTTTTTTGGTTTTTTTCCAGTGTCAGGTAAATCATTTCTATAGTGTAAATTAGCATCGATTTGGCCTGAAGTCAGGGTTAGCAGAAATGTTAACATGTTGGTGCTATACTATATGCCCTTTTGGCAGCTGTAAATAAATGTAAATTACACTGGAGGAGAAAGGACTGCAGTACTGTTTTTTGCATGTCCCAGGAGCTGTGACATCAAATGAAAACTATGAATTGCCATCCCTACTCATTAGGGGTGCAACGATACACAAAATTCACAGTTCGGTTCAGTTCGATACTTTGGTACTTTGGTGTCACGGTTCGATATTTTTTCGATACAAAACAATGTTTATGCATTTTAATTTGTCATTTATTAAAATTATAAATATATATTTTAACTCAAAAGTACAGTTTTTAAATGTAATGTTGCTGAAACAACAAAGCAATAAAATAATAAATCTATCTGATCGAGAAATCACTCATCTTTGGAAAAGAGAGTTTATTACAGAGAAATGGCTCTTTCCAAAATAAAAGCTATACTATACGGTTCTTCTGGGGTATATTCTCAGCAGCATATTAAACATATCAGGTCCCCATAAGGAGAATCATGTGCTAACGGCTGTCTAAAGGTAAAGTTTGTAGCATGCGTGCTTGTTGTTTTTGTCTGTTTCCACTTGTCTTTGCACTAGTATGATGTCGGCGTAAATGTGTAGTCATATTCGTTGTGTTCCCACTAGTGCTGTCAGCGTTAATCTCGTTAAAATGACATTAACGCCATAACACGGCAAATCTCTGTTAACAAGTTACCGCGGATTGCCCCGCGCATGGGGCTGGACGGCGTCAACACGTTAACAAGCTAACTGCGCTAACGCACTAGTTCCCACCAATTGAGCATTGCGTGGCACATCTGACATACTGTTTTACTTTTGTCCATGACGCGCTTACCATCAGGGTCATGCTTCACATGAAAACCAAGATAGTTCCAAACGCCAGATCTGAATGAGGGTGGGGGAGGCATTTGCCATGTTGCTTAGCTTAGCTTCTGTCTTGCTAGCTTGCACTGCGCTCAGTGGAGCTGCAGTCGACAGTGCAGCCTAGGCGGAGTAGTCGAACGCAGATCCACTGAGCGCTCAACACAGACAGCATGGTTAGAAGAAAAGTTGATAAAATAAATAAAAGATTTTGTATTGTTCGATACATATGCGTACCGAACCGAAAACACTGTATCGAACGGTTCAATATTGATACGAGTATTGTTGCACCCCTACTACTCATAATGCAGCTTTCAAAAAAGTTAGGGCATTTCTCCTGACATAACTAAGAATCACCTGTGCAATAGATGCTAAAACAAAAGAAAGCCTTTTTCACATGTCAAAACATAAACTCAGTCTGTGACCAAAGAATTAAAACCCTTTCACCACCACTTTAAGACACCAAATGGCTTTATATGTTTATCAAAACATTACTGACTGGTAAGAATACTGCAAAAAATGTAGAGAAAAAAAACTGTAAGGCACAATAATGAAATGTGAAGGATTTATTTTTAATTTTACAGAATATGATTTCTGAAACAAAGAAAAGAGAAATGATACATAATAAAATATGATTCCAAAAAATGGACAGACTATAGTGAAGTCATACTACATACGCTTGTGTGTAATTATAGCATGCACGACTTGCACCTGTGATACAAGACCAAAAGCATGTCAAAATAAAATAAAGGATCACCATGACATATCTTTGTGGTAGTTGTGGTAGGAACCCCCTTGAAGAATAGCTGTGCTGAGGGAAATTTTGGAGCACTGACAAAGAAAAAAGGAAGTAACTCCCAAAAAAACTCTGTAAAGCTTTATTTCCTTGTACATGTATATTCACAATAAAGGGCTATTCTATGCTATTCTATTCGGGGCATTAATAACTTAAAATCTTTTTATTGTTATTTTAGTTGTTCTGTTATCACTAAAAGTTGTAAAATGTTGTATCACTAAAATATCATTCTCAGTCACTTGTTATTTATTATGTGTTTACAGCGCCCTCTGTGGTTGCTCCAAGTAATGCGCTTTAGAAACGGCTTTATTTTGAAACAACTTTATTGAACAGGAA